CTTTAATATACTGAATTACAGAAGCTGCTGTCACAAACTTGTAGTTCCACAACTCCTAAGAAGCTGGCTGGGACTTGTAGTTCCTCAGCTTGTTTGGCACAGTAGCCTTTAGCTTTACTATACTGAATTACAGAAGCGGCTTTCTGAAACTTGTAGTTCCACAACTCCCAAGAAGCTGGCTGGGACTTGTAGTTCCTCAGCTATTCTGGCACAGTAGCCGTATAGGTCTTTAGCTTTATTATACCGAATCACAGAAGCTGCCTTCTGAAACTTGTAGTTCCATAACTTATATAAAGCTTGCTGGGACTTGCAGTGCCATACACCATATGATCCATGTGAACCATTCGGGGCTTATATATTGAAAGGATGAGGTCAATATGAGCTGCATGCTGGGATTTGTAGTTCCACAGCACAGAAATCATGAGTTGCTTGCTAGGATGCTAGCTAGATTTTTTTTTTTTAAGCCATTGCAGCAATCTGCATTCACTGAACCTACAGACATCTGCATGCTGAGACTTGTAGTCCCACAATCATCTAATTTTTACTGAAATTGTAGTACTAGTACTGGGGAGCAACACAACGCACATGGGAGCCAATCAGGAATGACATCTTGGCATGTCATTCCTGATTGGGGTTGGCATGCTGAGACTTGTAGTTTCACAATCCTCTGAGTGTTTTGTAGTACTAGACCTGGAGAGCAAATCTACGACATCCATTCTGGTGAACGGAAACTTTTATAGAGGTAAAATTTGTTTGGCATGCTTAGACTTGTAGTTCCACTTCCCCAGGAAAATCATTCTGTTGACAATGAGGACTTGCAGTACTATAATTGGGGACACACACCATACACAGGGCCAAGCTAGAGCTCCCATGCATTGTGAAAAGCATGTATAACCGATCCACATGAAGATGGTACTAGAAGCATTTATTGAGGGAGGTGTCTTGCATATGCTGAGACTTATAGTTCCACGATACTACTAGAAGCATTTGAGGGAGGTGTCTTGCATATGCTGAGACTTATAGTTCCACAATACTACTGGAAGCATTTATTGAGGGAGGTGTCTTGCATATGCTGAGACTTGTAGTTCCACGATACTACTAGCAGCATTTACTGAGGGAGGTGTCTTGCATATGCTGAGACTTGTAGTTCCACGATACTACTAGCAGCATTTATTGAGGGAGGTGTCTTGCATATGCTGAGACTTGTAGTTCCACGATACTACTAGCAGCATTTATTGAGGGAGGTGTCTTGCATATGCTGAGACTTGTAGTTCCACGATACTACTAGCAGCATTTATTGAGGGAGGTGTCTTGCATATGCTGAGACTTGTAGTTCCATGATACTAGAAGCATTTATTGAGGGAGGTGTCTTGCATGTGCTGAGACTTGTAGTTCCACAACTGCTATGATGTCATGTAAACAAAGTGTGTGTTTCTGTGTGTATTGCAGTACTAGAGCTGAGGTACATACAATAGTTACAGAACAAGGGTTTTATAGTAGCGTGCATGGCATGCTGAGACTTGTAGTTCCACAATACTACTAGCAGCATTTGAGGGAGGTGTCTTGCATATGCTGAGACTTATAGTTCCACAATACTACCAGCAGCATTTATTGAGGGAGGCGTCTTGCATATGCTGAGACTTGTAGTTCCAAAACTGCTATGAAGTCATGTAAACAAAGCGTGTATTTCTATGAGTAGAGTGCATGGCATGCTGAGGCTTGTAGTTCCACAACTGCCATGAAAGCCAATCATTTTTCTGACAGTGAGAGTCTGCTGAGACTTGTGGTGCTATACCTGGGGAACCATACTATGCACACGGACTGGTGAGAGCTCACATGCATAGGGAAATTTATTTAGAACAGTGATTCACATTGTATTTGCTGCTACAGTAGAGCATTTCTCAGCTCACTGGACCTGCAAAGAAAAAGCCTGCATGCTGAGAGTTGTAGTTCCACAATGGCTATGAAAACAAGTCATCTGCTTCTGAGTGCAGTACTAGAATGGGGGGGGGGCATGTGCAGGGGAATTGATCAGGAATTCTATCCACAGGAAGATGGTCCTAGAAGCATTTATAGAGGTAGGTGTCTTGCATGCTGGGACTTTAATTCCACGATTGCTATGGAGTCATGAACACAAATGGTCTGCTCCTCTGTGCAGTGCAGTACTACAGCTGGGGTACATACAATGCACGGGAGCCAATCAGGAGTTACAGAAAAGCAGCAGTTAGAGTGTTAGAAAGTGTTTGGCATGCTGAGACTTGTAGTTCCAAGCAGTAATTTTGCTGACAGTGAGCTTGCTGGGACTTGCAGTACTATAACTGGAGGACAGTAAACTCCCATGTGCACGTCAGAGCTCCCATCCATAGTGAAGCAGGCATGTATAGCAGGAAAGGTGATGTGCACGCTGGGATTTGTAGTACTACAATTGGGGAAGCATACCATGCACATGCATGTGAACAAGTCACAGCTTACATCCACATACTGAATGTATTTATACAATGATGTGTTGTGCATGCTGGGATTTGCAGTGCCACTAGCATAGCTGCCATAACACAAGTTGTGCTGAGCTTGCTGGAACTTGTGGTACTAGAACTGGGAAATGTACCATGAACAAGTCAGAGCTCACCTCCATAGTAAAGCAGACATTTATAGAAGGGAGGTGCATGCTGGGACTTGTAGTGCAACAAGCTATTGTGCTGAGCTTGCAGACATGTGTAGTGACAGGTATGCAAGGAAGAGTGATATGCATGCTGGGATTTGTAGTCCCACAACTTCTTGGCCACTGGACTGTATTTCTGGACACTTAGAGGGAAAGCATTGTATGGATCTGCATTAAAGGGGGTGTGTGCATTGTGTGGCTCGGCACCACTGGGGGTGCATTGTACTGCTCAGCATGACTGGGGGGTTGTACAGTATTGTTTACCATGGAAGGGGGGGGGCATAGTATGGCTCCACATTACTATTGTACAATTCAGCATTGCTGGGGGGGATTGCATAATTTGGTTCAGCACTGGGGGGGGGGGGGCATAATAATACAGCTCAGCATTTCTACTGTACAATTCAGCATTATGGGGGGGGGGGGGGGGGGAGTGCATAGTATGGGTCAGCACTACTTGGGGGGGAGAAGGGGGTGCATAGTATGGGTCAGCACTACTTGGGGGGAGGGGGTGCATAGTATGGGTCAGCACTACTACCGGGGGGGGGAGGGGGTGCATAGTATGGGTCAGCACTACTTGGGGGGGGGGGGGTGCATAGTATGGGTCAGCACTACTTGGGGGGGGAGGGGGGTGCATAGTATGGGTCAGCACTACTTGGGGGGGGGAGGGGGTGCATAGTATGGGTCAGCACTACTTGGGGGGGGGGAGGGGGGTGCATAGTATGGGTCAGCACTACTTGGGGGGGGAGGGGGTGCATAGTATGGGTCAGCACTACTTGGGGGGGGAGGGGGTGCATAGTATGGGTCAGCACTACTTGGGGGGGGTGCATAGTATGGGTCAGCACTACTTGGGGGGGGTGCATAGTATGGGTCAGCACTACTTGGGGGGGAGGGGGTGCATAGTATGGGTCAGCACTACTTGGGGGGGAGGGGGTGCATAGTATGGGTCAGCACTACTTGGGGGGGAGGGGGTGCATAGTATGGGTCAGCACTACTTGGGGGGGGTGCATAGTATGGGTCAGCACTACTTGGGGGGGGGGGGGGGGGGTGCATAGTATGGGTCAGCACTACTTGGGGGGGAGGGGGTGCATAGTATGGGTCAGCACTATTTCGGGGGTACATAGTATGGGTCAGCAATAATGGGGGGTGCATAGAATGGATCAGTAACATTGGGGTGCATAGATGAGTCAGCACTATTTGGAGGGTGCATAGAATGGGTCAGTAACATTGGAGGTACATACTATGGGTCAGCATTATTGGGGGGTGCATAGCACGGGTCAGCATTATTGGGGGGGTGCACAGCACGGGTCAGCATTATTGGGGGGGGGCACAGCACGGGTCAGCATTATTGGGGGGGTGCACAGCACGGGTCAGCATTATTGGGGGTGCATAGTACTTCTCAGTATTATTGGGGGGTACATATTATGGCTCAGTATTATTGGGGGGTGCATACTATAGCTCAGTATTATTGGGGGTGCATACTGGGGGTGCATAGTACTCAGTATTATTGGGGGGTGCATACTATGGGTCACTATTATTGGGGGGTGTGCACAGTACGGCTCAGCATTATTGGGGGGTGCACACTATGGGTCAGTATTATTGGGGGGGTGCATAGTACTTCTCAGTATTATTGGGGGGTGGGGGTGCATACTATGGGTCAGTATTATTGGGGGGTGCATAGTACTTCTCAGCATTATTGGGGGGTGGGGGTGCATACTATGGGTCAGTATTATTGGGGGGTGCATAGTACGGCTCAGCATGCCTCGTCTGCCCTGGTCAGGATTTCAGAGTCTGTGACTCACCAGCTGTCGCAGTTGCAGTCATTCTGGGACTTGTAGTCCCACGGCAGCTGGCAAGGCACAGTCCAGAGACGCAGAAGCGGCACGGTGAGCCCTCTATGGCTCTCCCCTCCTCGGGTCAGCTCCTCGGCCCCGGCAGCAGCACCCTACATGCTCCCCGCTCCGCTCCGGACTGCGACTCCCCTCTCACACACCACGAGCTTCTACCCCGAGCAAATTGGCGGCGTCCAATGGGAAGCGTGCGGTCTGACGTCACGGCTGGCAGAGAAGGCGTTGCCATGAGACCCCGGCCGGGTCAGCGTTCTATCTCCGCCCACCGCGCGCCCTAGCAGCATTTATATAGTGGTGTCTGCACGCGGAGAGGGGAGTCAGCTCGTTGCACTTATTTCTACCCCGAGTCCTCCCAGCCAGTCCGGACCTGTCACCCCCCATCTCCTCCTCCTCCCGCCTGCCCGGAGCCTCTCTCTAGTCGTGGCTAGTCCAAAGCCCTTCAGGAACGCAGGATCTCCCCGGTCCTCTGGACTCAGTACAAACTGGAGCTGGAAATGTCTGCCACACTTCTGTCCGCCTTCTACGACATCGACCTGTTCTGTAAGGTGTGTATGGGGGGCCTGGCTTTGTGTGCAGCCCTGGAAGGAAGGAAGGAGCTGGGGGACGGGGGAGCCCTGGAAGGTCTGCAGGGAGAGGGCAGTCCTGGAAGGTGGGGAGCCCTGGAAGGAGCTAGAGAGTGCAATCCTGGAAGGAGTGAGGGGGCCCTGGAAGAAGTGGAGCCCTGGAAGGGACTTGGGGGATCTGGAAGGTCTAGAGGGAGAGTGAAGTCCTGGAAGGAGTAGTGGAGCCCTGGAAGGCACTTGGGGATCTGGGAGCCCTGGAAGGAGTTGGGGGGGTGGAATACTGGAAGGAGTAGTGGAGCCCTGGAAGGCACTTGGGGATCTGGGAGCCCTGGAGGGAGAGTGGAGCTCTGGAAGGTCTGGAGGGAGAGTGAAGTCCTGGAAGGAGTTGGGGGGGGGGGGGGGGGGTGAAATCCTGGAAAGGAGTAGTGGAGCCCTGGAAGGAGCTTGGGGGATCAGGAAGTCCTGGAAGGAGAAGGGGAGCCTTGGAAGGTCTGGAGGGAGAGTGGAGTCCTGACAGGAGCTTGGATCAGGGAGCCCTGGAAGGTGCTGGGGATCCCTGGAAGGTGCTGAGGGAGATGAATCCCTGGAGGGGGTGTGGATCTCTGGAAGGCAGGGGGGGAATGCAGATCCCTGGAAGGAGCTAGGGTGGGTGAGGAAAAAAGATCAGCTCCAGTGATGAGTGTGCATGAGATGTTTGTGTGTCAACAGGGGAGATCTAGGAAAGTTTGTTGGAGAAGTTTGCAGCAGCCACCAAAGAAGGCAGAGAGCTCCTCACACTGACTGGCAGCAGCAGATCAGCTTTGCACCAAGTTCTACTTTGCCGATCTCATTGTCTGTAGGGCTGGTGATCTGCTATAAACTCCATAGGAGCGTCTACCAGGCTGGTTTTACTGTCTGTAGAGGTTGCAACGAGCTGATCTGCTAATGCAACTTTTATTTATTTTTTTGCATTACATGCTTCCTATAGCCAATCAAATTTGGACTTTCTTATGGTCGATAGAGCTTGCATCATGTTAAACCAGAAGATCTGCTAATGTAACGTTTTATTTTTTTGCATTAGGCAAATGGCAAAGAAACTTTTTTTTTTTTTTTTCTTCTGAACGTGGTGAAAAAGTAAACTTTTTTTTTAATTTTTTTATTAAATGTCTTATTGGCTGTAGAGCTTTTAGTCGCTCATCTTGCATCAAGTTAGTAGCTGAGCTGCTAATGCAATTTATTTTTGCTTCAGATGCTTCCTGTGGAGGCTTCCTATCGCCAATCGGCCAACAAAACTTTTTTAAAAATCTAAACGGTTTACAGTTTATAAGTGTGGTGTTCTCATGTCTGTGGCGCTTGCAGCAGCAGTGCACCCTCTTGCCTCAAGTTCAAGTAGTTGATCTTCTAATGCAACTTTTTATTTTTGCACTAGATTGCCGATCAGTCAAAGAAACTTTTTTTTTTTTTTTGGATGTTTAACACATTTTAAAGTTTTTAAATATTTTATTGCCTTTAGAGCTTGCATTGAGTTCAAGTAGCTGGTATGCTAATGCAGCTTTTTTTTTTTTATTTTGCTTTAGATGCTTCCTATGTCTAGAAAAAAAATTTAAGTCTTCTAAACTTGATGAGATTGTCAAGGTTTTTTTTTTAATTTTCTTTTTTTTGACATTCCTACTGTTGATACAGCTTGCACCAAGTTAAACTAGCTAATGCAACTTTTTATATTCTCTGTATAGATTTCCTATAGATAGTCAGTCAGTCAGTCAGTCAGTCAGTCAGTCAGTCAGAAGTTTTTTTTTTTTTTTTTTATTTAATTCATCTGATTTTATTATTTTTTTTTACAAGTGTGTGACGGTGATCAGTCTGCATTTTTAAACTGTACGACTATCTAGCTTGTCCACGTAAAGGCTAGAGAGAGCATGACAATGAGCTTTAAAGTCTCCATGGGAAGTATTCTATGCATGTGGAAGTTTCCAGAATAATGTGCGAGCCCTCGAACTCCACCACGGCTGGACAGCCATAGGTCAGCTTAAAACGAGTCAGTAACGTTGGCTTCTACCAGGACTAGTAGAGAGTTTGGACAACTGTAGATGGCGGTCCTGTATCAGGTTTTTAGTTGATTACGTCTACTAAGAGCCGGTGCTGTCACTAGTTAGTGGAGTGATTTGTGAGCCTGTGCAAATGATTCTTTGTAGGAGTGGAATATGAAAGTATGCGTGGGGAGAAGTCTGGGTTATGGGCGGTGTATAGAGAAAATGGGGTCTAGCTGTTGGTGGGTTTCCAGAAAGTAGGATTTGTGAAAGTAGACTAAGGGGGGGGGGGGGTGCGTGGGTGGACGAGCTGTGATTCATGGGAGTTTTAAAAGTGGGGAAAAGTGGGGCGGTAGTTTTCGTAGGGGGTCTATGGGGGGGAAGAGTAGTTTTTTGTAAGGTGGTCTATAGAAAGGTAGTTTTGTAGGGGAGGTCTTCAGAAGGGTAGTTTTTTAGACTAGTGGTCTTCAGAAGGGTAGTTTTTTAGACTAGTGGTCTTCAGAAGGGTAGTTTTTAGACTAGTGGTCTTCAGAAGGGTAGTTTTTAGACTAGTGGTCTTCAGAAGGGTAGTTTTTTTTTTAGACTAGTGGTCTTCAGAAGGGTAGTTTTTAGACTAGTGGTCTTCAGAAGGGTAGTTTTTAGACTAGTGGTCTTCAGAAGGGTAGTTTTTTTAGACTAGTGGTCTTCAGAAGGGTAGTTTTTAGACTAGTGGTCTTCAGAAGGGTAGTTTTTAGACTAGTGGTCTTCAGAAGGGTAGTTTTTAGACTAGTGGTCTTCAGAAGGGTAGTTTTTAGACTAGTGGTCTTCAGAAGGGTAGTTTTTAGACTAGTGGTCTTCAGAAGGGTAGTTTTTAGACTAGTGGTCTTCAGAAGGGTAGTTTTGTGACTAGTGGTCTTCAGAAGGGTAGTTTTTAGACTAGTGGTCTTCAGAAGGGTAGTTTTTAGACTAGTGGTCTTCAGAAGGGTAGTTTTGTAGGTGAGGTCTTCAGAAGGGTAATTCTAGACTAGTGGTCTTCAGAAGGGTAGTTCTAGACTAGTGGTCTTCAGAAGGGTAGTTCTAGACTAGTGGTCTTCAGAAGGGTAGTTCTAGACTAGTGGTCTTCAGAAGGGTAGTTCTAGACTAGTGGTCCTTCAGAAGGGTAGTTCTAGACTAGTGGTCTCAGAAGGGTAGTTCTAGACTAGTGGTCCTCAGAAGGGTAGTTCTAGACTAGTGGTCCTCAGAAGGGTAGTTCTAGACTAGTGGTCCTCAGAAGGGTAGTTCTAGTAGTGGTCCTCAGAAGGGTAGTTCTAGACTAGTGGTCTTCAGAAGGATAGTTTTGTAGGGGAGGTCTTCAGAAGGGAAGTTTTTTAATTAGTGGTCTACAGAAGGGTAATTCTGTAGGGGAGGACTACAGAAGTTTTGAAGGGTCATCTACAGAAGGGGTACAATGTTTTAAAAGTTTGTAGAAACAGCCTATTAACAGCTTGTGGTGTATGGGAAAAGTCAACAGAAGTCTGATCTGTTCTTTCTTTTGTCCTCAGAACGAGAAAGTCCTGAACAATCTGAATCTGAGCAGCATGCTGGACAAGAAGGCAGTGGGCAGCCCGGTGACAGCCCCCAACTCCAGCCTGCTCCCAGGGTTCCTTCGCAGACACTCAGCCAGCAACCTTCAGGCTCTGGCTAATAACAACAACAACTCATCCCCCAAGTTCTGCAACAACAACCTCAAGGAATCAGTGGTGAACAGCACTGCCCTGTTGAATAAAGAGAACAAGTTCCGGGACCGTTCGTTCAGTGAGAATGGAGAACGTAGCCAGCACCTCCTGCATCTCCAGCAGCAGCAACAGCAGCAGAAGTCCGGTGCTCAGATCAACTCCACTCGTTACAAGACAGAGCTCTGCCGGCCCTTCGAGGAGAGTGGCACTTGCAAATATGGTGAGAAGTGTCAGTTTGCCCATGGGTTTCATGAGCTGCGCAGCCTGACCCGGCACCCCAAGTACAAGACTGAGCTGTGCCGTACCTTCCACACCATTGGCTTCTGCCCCTATGGTCCCCGCTGCCACTTCATCCATAACGCCGAGGAGAGGAGGCAGGCACCTGGAGGAGGAGGCTCCCCTACAGACTGCTTCAACGGCCAGCGCCCCAAACTGCACCACAGCCTCAGCTTCTCTGGGTTCCCCAACCACAGCCTGGACTCCCCTCTTTTGGAGAGCCCGACCTCACGCACACCTCCCCCGCAGCCCTCTAACTCCCTGTACTGCGAGGAGACTGTCCCCTGTGCCAACAATGCCTTCACCTTCTCTGGCCAGGAACTCAGCCTGATCACGCCCCTGGCAATCCAGACCCACAACCTGTCCAGCTACAACCCTGCAGCCTACTGCCGCCAGCAGCAGCCAGCCTCTTCCAACACGCCCCCGCCGAGCCTTAACTTCCAGCCCCTGCGACGCCTCTCCGAATCCCCAGTGTTTGATGCTCCACCAAGTCCACCTGACTCCCTCTCTGACCGGGAGAGCTATCTGAGCGGCTCCTTGAGCTCTGGCAGCCTGAGCGGATCGGATTCCCCTACCTTGGACTCTAATAGGCGCCTGCCCATTTTCAGCAGGCTGTCCATCTCTGATGACTGA